GTGTGTGTGTGTGTGTCACAGGTGTAATTACAAGCAGATGTGCCTCCAGACTTCACAATTAAAACAAATAGGATTTTTGGATTGCTTGACTGCTGCCAATCTCATGCCATTCCCCCTGTCCTTCCAATCCTCCTTCAATCTTTTCCCCACTTTTTAAATCCCACCCTCCTCACCCATTCACCTTCCTTTATCTCCATCCGCCCCCACACTGTGTGCCCTTAAGAAAAAGAAATGTGAAATAATCCCCTCTTCCTCCCTCAGTCCCTTCCTTTCTCTTCCTCTTCGTACTCTTTCTCTCCTACTTTTTCTCCTCTCTGGTGTTTGTGAAGGGCATAGAGAAGGTGAACAGTATAGAAAAATCTTACAGAAGCGCTAAATAAGCCGGCTCTGTATGGTAAACTTTTGATCCAACCTCTGCCCATCCTTTTTTCTTCCTCTTTAGTGAAGCTAAGGCAAGCACTTTAGGTCTCTATAGACTGCGATTCTGGGCAGAAATCCTTGTTGTTGTGAGACGTGTGCACCATTTAGCTTCGGCACCCAAAGATGGCCATCTTCATAGTTGCCCTTTAGTTATTGTCGCTGTGTCCGTCAAGCTGTCCATTCTCACACATCACATTCAGTGATGCATATGCATCAGCATGTTTACCACACAAAATTCTTGTTTTTGAAACCATGGGTCCTTGATTTCAGATAAAAGCAGCAATTCCGGCTGTGAACCATCAATTCTGCACATGGTTATTTCTTATTAACTGTAGCCAGCTAGCTAATTAAGCTTAGGTTACCTCAGTGTGTTGGCTGAAAATCTGTCCTGCCTATTTTATGTGAGTTTATAGCGTTTATACAACTATTTTAACATTTTATTTGGAAAGGAAGCATGTTAAGTTTTTCGGAAATCTTTTTTTAAGTTGCTGTTTTTACTATGACCAAAAACTGTTTACATTCTGATTCCTTCCTATATTGTAGCCTATTAATATTATTATAGGCCAATAAAACCCTATATTAAGCAGAGTGTGGGGGTGTTTTTATATGTAATGTACTCCTGACAGTAGAATTAACCACTATAAACCTATGTAAAGGCCCAATCATGCAAATTATAATAAGAAATACAGTGATACAAATACCACCCAGCATTAGACCGCATTGGGTCATCATCATATTTTAAAGAGATACGCTGAGATAAGAGAAATAAAAGACTAATGGTTGCAAAGCTATGATTGGACAATCATTGTTTGTCAAGGGGTTTGATGAACGGTCAGTTCTCACAGCGTGGCCTGTACTATGGCCAATGTCCACAAACCAACCACTCAGAGTATGCATGGAATGACTGTAATAAAATGAATGAATGAATAAAGTTAACAATAATAATAATAATGCCAGCACTACAGCCAAAACAAGGGTAGCATAAAGGGATGATGCAAGTTGATGTCATGTGTGCTTCAATTTTTTTTATTAACATCTCTACAGTTCACCAGCCAATTGCTCACAATTTGACATACATCAAAATGTATATTGTGCAGTCTGACACAAATTGCAAACAAGATTTATTTTACTGGATCTATCTTAGAGTAAGATGGAATCACAATTTGTATGTAGTATTTTATCACCTCCTTTCCTTCTGTCCTGTCTTTTTCTTCCCATTTGTCCTATTTGCCCTCTCCTCAGCTGGCATCTTAAAAGATGAATCAGTTTTCTCCCTCTTTTCCTTAGTCTTTTTATTTTTACTTTGACTGTCTGACTAACCCAAAACAGTCAGAGAAGCTTTCTTTATCGCTCCTTTGTCCCTGCCCTTTGCAATACCTCTTCTGTCTCTCCTGCTTCTCTGCCTCTCACATCTCTCTGCCTCCATTCCTTCTTTGCCCTGTCCCTCTTTCTACCCTTTCTTCCCTGGGCCCCTCTTTCTGCCGAGGTTGGTATAAAGGCATGACAGGAGCTGCGTGCCGTAAACATTTTGAATATTGATGAATTTATCTTCCTTGTGTTTCACATCTTTCCTGTCTGTCCTCTCTTCTCGCTCTAGGTGATGCTGGCAGAGCGCAAAGGGACCGAGGAACTGTACGCTGTAAAGATCCTGAAGAAAGATGTTGTGATCCAGGATGATGACGTGGAATGCACCATGGTGGAGAAGAGAGTGCTAGCGTTGTCTGGAAAGCCCCCGTTCTTAACACAGCTGCACTCCACCTTCCAGAGCATGGTAGGTGGGCCAATGTATTTTCACAACAGGTGTATTATATCGTATAAAATACTTTCATATCTTAAAAAACAACACTGTCACAACTTAGGCAATAGTGTGTCATTTGGTAAAATATGTTAATTGACCTCTTGCCAAGAGTAAGTTGATATCATGACCATGTACAAGGCTCCAGCCAGCAAACTGTTAGTTTAGCTTAGCATTAACAGTGGAAACAGGGAGAAATGGTTCCATCAGAACATAACAAAATCCACCTACACCTCTAAAGCTCATAACTGACACATAATAATTTGTTAAAATTAATAAAATACGAATGGTGATGACCAGATTTAGAAAAGAAACAGCAAAAACCCAAATTAGTTTGGACACCATTTGAGCCATGCTAACTGTTGACTGTTTCCAGTCTTTATGCTAAGCTAAGCTAACCAGCTGCTCGCCATTGATGCCAAAAAAAGCTGCCTACCCCAGCTTTAATGGACAGATAAGAAACTCTATTTGTCCACCTCATTCATATCAATGAGGGCTGGCTAAATAACAAACATCTCTCTGAAGGATCATGGGCTTCCTTACAGATTTTACACACGCAAGTTCAACATCAACAGCAAAACATGCACAAAATGTAACAATGTCATACTAAAGTAAAAGTGAATGATGAGGCAAGAAACTGTTCAAAGTATCACTAGAAATACAGATTTGGGCCCAGTTTCACAAAATGATGCAAATAGCAGAAAATTACAAATGTCCATTCAATTTTCACTTCATTTTAGTGTTTTATTTGCTGTTAGTTCCTATTTTTCCATTAAAACTTCGGTTTAATGTGAAACAGCTTGGTTGGTTGCATACACCCACCCACACACACACACACACACACAAACAAACCCTCAGTGACTAGAAACCAAAAAAACTATCCACTTTACATTCTTTGCAAGCTGAACTGACACCCTTCCTAGGCCCCTACAGATCTTCACATTATATTTGATATGAAGGGAGCCACAGTGTAGTGTCCTGCTGAAGGGCAGAACCGGACTTCTGGTGAGCGCTGTGGTCTTAACAGCAGCCACCCTGCCTGCTGTCACCAGCTCACAGCTGGAACACAGGCTGGATTCATATTTGATTCATGTTCATCTTGTGACGTATAATCCATTTTACACTAAAGATGAGTCAACAGAGGAGTAAATATAGCTCACTGGCCTTATGCTTTACACTGAGTACATGTCATTTACATTCACAGTAAACACACTCATTTGTACATGTTTTCATTGATTAATGAACATAATGTGTTGGGAATCCATTTGAGGCTGTGGTTAAAGGCTAGACAGACAAAGTTGAACCCCCCCCACACACACACACACACACACACATCCACACACACAAACAGAGTGTGTTATCCCTCCTCTGCAATAATTCTCTGACCAGAGGATTTGTACATATTGGACTTAGCAGGCAGTTATAACACAAACACACACACAAAGGCAATTATAACATGCATGCATACACACAGTCATACCGTATGTTGTGTGGTGTGCACACACAAATGCATTTTAATCACGTCATCAGCACATATTGCAAACAAACAACTGCTCATAAGACTCACCAGGCAGTGCATGAAAGGAGGACTAGCACACAGACACACATTAAAGGCCCAACACACAACACAATTCCACAGTATTTTCTCCAAACACACATGAACACATACCAAATCCCTCTATGTTCCCTCACATACTGTACCTTATTGGCAATTTCTGTAGATAATGGAGGAGAATTAACTCTTAAATTGAAGTTGCTGTGTCCCCTCAGTTGCAGACTGATTGGACACTTATTTTTTTTTATCCTGCCATTTTTCTTCTATATCTCTCCTTTAATCTTCTCTCATTTGACCCATCACTCTCTGTATACCTCTGAACAATCCCTTTCTTTCTACAGTAACTCTTTTTCTCACTATCATCCCATTTCTCTGTGACCTCTCACCTGCTTTTATGAACACGTACATTTTGATCTCTGTCTCTCTGTCTGCCCCTCTATCTCTTCGCAGGACCGTTTGTATTTTGTCATGGAGTACATAAACGGAGGTGATCTCATGTATCAGATTCAGCAGGTCGGCAAGTTCAAAGAGCCTCATGCTGTGTGAGTACACACAAACACACGCAAAGCAGCTTTTGTAGACTAAAGGCTAAGATATATTCTTATGCCATCATAACACAAAATCTTAATCCCGCGCTTATAGGTGTTTCACACTTTGGTAATGCTTTTTTAAATCATACTGAATAAGCCATCAGCAGTTTGACGGGCTCAGGTGATGGATGAGCAATCCTAGCAGAGCCCGGGGGTAAAATATGTTGTTCGCCCCGATGCACGTTGCTGCTCTGAAGAACTTCAAAGAAATGAGAGTAATCCAGCAGCAAGTTTTCAGTGTGTGGTAGGATACCTCCAAAACTGCAGAATATAATTAAGGTGGCTGGCGAAGATCGCTGGTGTCAAGTCAAACCAGCAGGCTGACATATTTGACAAGCAGGCTGTCGGGGAAAAGCGAGAGCCGTGGAGGAGTTTGCCCTTCATCTGCTTTATAGGGAATTAAAGTTTCTTCCCTCTGGCAGAAGGTTTAGAGTGCTGAAGGGCAAGTCGAACAGGGTGAAGGCCTCGTTTATCTAAGGCCATCAATGTATTCTGCTCTGCCTAATTTATTTATTAGACAACAGTCAGGATATTCTGCTCTGTGGATGATGGTGAGGACGCCATTAACTTGTCTCTTTTGTATTCCTGTGTGTTAATATTTTGCATCTAAAGCCGTGTTAGCTTCTCGCAGCAGCAGCGACGCCCCTCCAGTCGTCATCCTGTCCACAGATAACACATCCAACGAGCCCCCGAACAGGCTCTGCATATTCCACGCTGCTCTCCAAAACGCTGCTCTCGACATCACTTTTCCAAACAGATACTGATTGTGCACGCCCACGCAAACAATAGTTGACTCTGTGGTCAGTGTGTCCACACTCCTCCTGTTGATCTTATCAGCTGCTCCTTGGCCTTGAAGAGACAGCACTGACCTTTATGCAGACACACACTCTCACACGCACATACACACACAAATAATCCCTCTGTTTTCCTCCTGTCCTTTCTCTCAGCCTCTGTCTAATTACTGTTTTCGTTTCTCTTCGTGTGTGTGTGTATGTGTGTAGATTTTATGCTGCAGAGATAGCCATTGGTCTGTTCTTCTTACATCTAAAGGGCATCATCTACAGGTAAGATTCACACCAAACCATGTATATCATCATATATAATATCATCTGGACCAAGAGTAAATTTATGATATCCACCGCTCCAAATCATATATCCCAATAAAAGTCAGATATTCTGATAAAGTAATTATTATTATTTTAGTGCAATAACCATCTTTCTTGCAATTATTTGTTCTCTACCACTCTCTCAGTGACACATAGTGAGATCCTGTCACAGAGATGGCTCACACAAGAACTTTATTATTTATTGTTGAGGATTCTCTGGTTATTAAAGGATGTATTTTCTTGGTAAATAGTTTTGGTAGATTCGGTTTTGACCTAAAATGAACAGCCCAAGAATGTTTTTACACCTTTTATGATGCAATATTGAAAAGCAGGTACTGTGTCTTAATCATTGAAGTACTGCAGTTGTATGTATTCAAAATTAAACTTTACAAGGTTTATTTCAGCACAATCGGAATAGAGAGATTGTAAAGAACAGCTGTAGCAAGTTGTTGTTTTTTTTCCATTTTTATTCATTAAAGGTACTTTGTGGAGTTTTTCACCACTACTAGCACTATCAAGCAATGTTTTACAATTGGGTCCCTGTTTTGTTTCTATAGTGCACAAGGACTGAACATATTGCGCATTAATCTATAATATTTGGACAGGATGACGTACTTGACTCACCCCCAGTAGCCACTGAAGAAATTTCAAGTAGGTTTTAACCTTTAGACTTCAACTACAATTAGCTGCTTTCTGCTGTTAATATAATATCATGCAGAGAATCCACCCCCACAAATGACATCACACACATCTGTCATCAACTGTAGCTCTGCATCTTTGGATCAGGCAGAGCATCGTTCCCTTATCAAACCCGCAGTTTAGTAAAATGATTAAGGGAGATTGCAGAGGAGGAGAAAACATTAGAGTAAAAAATAAAATGTTGAGATGATCATGGCCTTCATGGTCCATGTTGGGTCATCAAATTGAGTGTCCTTTCCTTTTAATGTTGTTTTTCTCTCCTGCAGAGACCTGAAGCTGGACAATGTGATGCTGGACTGTGAGGGTCACATTAAGATAGCAGATTTTGGCATGTGTAAAGAAAATATGATTGATGGAGTCACTACCAAGACCTTCTGTGGAACACCAGACTACATAGCTCCTGAGGTAGAGTGTGTGTGTGCGGTGTGCGTGATAGTGGGTGGGCCGGCATCACAGGCGCTCTGGTCGTTGTATCTGGCCCGCTGTATGTTCACATGTTATATCAAATATAAATCCTGAAGTGCACAGCTGCTATAGAGCGTGCCTAATGTAGTACACAGTGATACACTATACACTCCCAATTCCTTAAAGCAGTAGTTGAACCGTTTTGGGAAAAAGACTTATTTGCTTTAGAGTTAGAGGAGATTAATACCACAAAATCATATATATCAATCAATATACGATAAATATGTAGCTGGAGCCAGCAGCCGGTTAGCTTAGCTTAGCACAAAAACAGGAAACAGAGAAATGGCTTGCCATATATTTCCAAAGGAAACAAAATCTACCTACCAGCACCTCTAAAGTTCACAATTTATCAGAACCTTGAGTACTGCCAATGGTAGCTATCCTTTAAGCATGTTTAAGCATCAGTTTGATCTCATTGGAGCTGCATTTTAATGGGCTACCATTTCTGTAACTTTCTAAAACCAACAATCCAACATGTAGACCCACTTCATGCAGTGATTTGCCAGCTGTTCGGAGGTGAGACAGGCGGCTGGCTTTGGGGTTCTCTCTCTATCTTTTTACATTCTTTACACAAATATTTGTGGCACTTTTTACGTAAAAAACAGACTGCAACACTGTGGAACTATCTAAACATATATGCTGTTATCTCAACATTTAAATAATATTGTGTCTCCTCCCTTTCTATGTCTCTTTTAAATACATTTCTTAATACATTCTTTCAGGTATTTTAGTTTGTGTTTCCTGTATTCTTTGTATACACTGCCTTGCTTTGCCTTAATGATTTAAGACTCTATCGAAACTTTAAAACAGAGTCTCTTATATTTCAGATCATAGCCTACCAACCTTATGGGAAATCTGTGGACTGGTGGGCCTTTGGAGTATTGCTCTATGAGATGCTGGCTGGACAGGTTAGTG